TGGCAAAGTCTTCAGTAAGCAATGGGAACAAAGTTGAGATTCAATACTACTTTTCACCAACAAATTGACGGGCAAACGAAGAGAACTATTCAAACATTAGAAGACATGCTTCGTATGTGTGTTTTAGAGTTTCAAGGCAGTTGGAAAACGTATCTACCGTTAGCTGAGTTTGAATATAACAACAGCTTTTACGCTAGCATCAACATAGCACCATATGAGGCCTTGTATGGAAGAAAGTATAGGTCTTTGATTTGCTAGACTGCGATTGGAGATAGAGCTTTGTATGGATCCGAACTTGTGCGAGTAACAACCGAAAAGATAAAGATCATTCAACAAAGGCTCAAGACTGCTCAAAGTTGATAGAAAAGCTATGCGGATCAAAAGAGAAGGGATTTGGAATATGAAGCGGGTGATCATGTGTTTATTAGAGTCACACCGATGAAAGGGCAAATGAGATTTGGTAGGAAAGAGAAATTGACTCCACGTTACATCGGACCATTTCAAATTCTAGAAAGGCTTGGTCCAGTTACTTACCGGATAGCCTTACCACCGGGAATGGAATAGATGCATTATGTGTTTCACGTGTCAATACTTCGAGGATATCTTCGAGATTTGTTCTATGTCATCGATTATCATTGGATAGCTTTGGATGATGATATGAAATATGAGGAATAGCCAGTACATATCTTTAACTGACAAGTGAAACAGTTGAGAAATAGATTGATTCCAATGGTGAAGGTAGAATAAAGAGAACATTATGAAAAATAGGCGATTTGGGAGAAAGATGATGAAATTCAAACTAAAATAACTAGAATAAATCAAGTAAAATTGATTAGGATTAATTAAATTTAAGCTTGTTTAATTAGACTTAATCCAACTTAATTAGTCTAACTTAATCCACCCTATAAATATGTTATAAGCATGATTATGAGCTCATATTCATCAAATTGTGGCTAAAATATGAGAGAGAGAGAGAGAGAGAGAAAGAGAGAGAGAAGGAATGTGAAGAATTAAAGGTGAATTGAAGGAATTAAGCAAGCTTATGTTCAAATTCAAGCTTTAGGTAAGATCTACAACCATAATCCTTGTAGATAATCCATTTAGATGTTGAATTCATAAAGTTTGTAGGATCATTTATATGAATTTGAGAAGAAAATGTTAGAATCACTTGAATTTAGTAAGAATGAGTTAAATTGGGACATGCATGGATACTTCATCATCCTTAAGCTTGATTTTCAACAAAATCTTTACATGCATGGGGCTATACTTGTTATCTTTGAAGATTTTTCATGATTTCACACTCATCATCTCATATTAACATGTTTGAAAGAAAAAGAATTGAATTCATTACGCGCATGGCAAGATTATAGAGATTTGGGCTTTGTTTTTGAAGATTGAAAGAGATTTGGAACTATGGTTTGAAAATAATCATGTATCTCAGAGTTATGAAGTGTTTTTACACATTTCTACCAGCTATGCAAGCTTTGGACATCAAACTCATGTTTTTGAACACAAAATCAATTCTGGAGAACCTATAATTCGACCACTTCACTCAAGCGATTTTGAACACAAAACTCAATTCTGGAAAACCCATAATTCGACCACTTCGCTTGAGCAATGAATTCACACTTTGCATGCTCCCAATATTTTTGCAGAGCTTTGCAGTTGCTCGAGCGACCAAGTGTGTGCTTGAGCAAACCCAACTTTGCTTTATACTTGGCCTGAGCGACCAAGTGATGGCTTGGGTCCACTTTGACACCATCTAGTACTTCTATAGACAAACCACACTTCTCGAGCGACCAGAGGTGCGCTCGAGAGAACTGCCATGTTTTCAACATTTTTGAGACACTCTCATTTGCATGATTTGATCCTCATGTTCTTTTAGGCATTCTTGGGCATTGTTTAGACATCATTAATAAGGAAATAGATTAGAAACACATAAAAGGAAATTGAATTAAGATAGAACATTTCATTAGGACATGTGTTTCAATGTATGCCTTTATTATGTGTTTTGTGTAGGTATTGGTACAACCCACTGTGAGTAACGTCTTTATAAAGTTATGTTTGAAAAGTATTTTGAATCAGTCAATAATGTTATTTTGAAATCTTATTTTGAATCCATTTTGAACGAATATCCTTTTTGAACTTGTAATTGTGGCATCCTTTAGTGAGGCCCTCACCTGGGAAAAACAATACCATGGCCCATGGATTAATTGAAATACAGAGATCTCTGATATTAGACCCTAGTAGTCCACATTGAATTACTGGTTGTGGTGTTATTGAATGACTTGTCGTGGTCCTATTGAATTGACCTTAATGGTCCCATTGGATTTGGTACATAGATTTATTGTTACTCTATTGGATAAATATTTGATTGGTTATTGCTAATGCAAAGTATCGACTTGATTGAACATATGATTGTCATTCAAATTGTTTTGCTTATTGAAAAGATATACTTTTAGAAATGATGAACTTCATTTATTAAATCCTTTATATTGATGTTATTCACTGGGTTCTAACTCACCTCTCTTCCTTATATATATATATATATATAGGTGAGCAGATAGATCATCAGGATTATAGATGCCTCAGAAGTATACCCCTGTAAAGCTGTTTTGAAGTGCCTTCATGATATGGGGCGTGCTTGGACTCGAGTGGAGCCAAGCTTTGTCAAACCCTTCTTTTGTTTAGTTTTTCTTTTGTTATTTTGGAATTTGTTTTGGGACGGATGTTATGTAAAATAACTTCAAATTTGTTGTGATACATCTATGTAAGAAGATGGAAGTCTATTTTACAATGAAGAGATCTATTATGAATGCATTGCTCAATGGACTATTACATATTTGTTATTACTTCCGCCAAGCGCCATTTAATATATTAGGATTGATTTTGTCTCTGAGGCCGAAGGTAATTTGAGATTACTGGACGATCATGACCTAAACCGATAGGGGCGAATTCGGGTCTAGAATGATTTCTCCGATAGGTGTTATATCATGTCTATGAGGTGACCATTTGCTATGTTTTTATTATACAACAACTACTAGCATTGGTGGTCATACATTTTTTTAAGCCTTCTTACAATTGTTAGGATTGGCCCTCTACAGATCATCATAAAAAATAAATAAATAAAAAGAGTAAAGTAAAGTGGTAAAGCTTAACAATTTTTATGAATATATTATATTTAGCCTTGAGATTTTGACAAAAATTTAATAAACCACTTATACTTGACCTAATGACACGAAACTGAACTAATACAGATTGTGTCTATACACAGAAATAATCAAAGTCAACCTCTCTTTTTGTAAGGAACCGAACTAATACAGATTGTGTCTAAGCACATACATAATCAAATGTAAATGTACATTAAGTATAAGAGAATGTATTTCTTCATTCATATAATTAACAAATGAGTGATAAAAAGAGAATTTTGTGAATTAAGGCAAGATAATGTTTTATGTCACCATTTTTTTTATTTTTATTTTTTTTTGTCACCTGTTGATACCACTTTTTACATACATACTCATGATTAGTTCCTTTGTTTGGAGATAATTATTAAATAAATAATGAAAGAAAATAATATATTACCATATAATCTGGTGGTATAAAACAATAAAAAAGTTAGTGATTTATAGCAGTCCTTTTAAAACATGTAGAGAGCAATTATATCAAACTTGTAGAACGTATTTTGTCTAAGCATTCAAGGGAAGTTAGTGTAATTTATCCATTTTAATATTGGTTGGTTTGCACATAAAGTTTGCGTAAATAATTATTGAAATTATATACTAGAATTCAATTTAAAACAAGAAATAAAATTCCAAACAAAATCTAAAAACATAATACTAAATAAGAATTAAATCAACTATAACAAAATATCACTTAAATATTGCTCTTCTGGCTTGTTTAGCTGCAAAATTACCAATTAAGATTATATAATCTATCTTATCTATCATTTCTTTTTCAGTTGAACATAGTTAATTGAAAGGTAAGATTTGATTAGCTTTGAAAATTTTCTTTCTCAAGAAGCAATTGTAACTAATATAATTAACAAAATTTATAAACAATCTATGCATGTGAGATATAAGCATGTATTACTTTTAATTAATTCACCACCTCAAATGAGCTCTTCATTTTATTAAAACCTAATAACAATATTTTTATTAATATACATATAAGAATATTTCCAAGTAACTTTTTAAACGAGCCATATTAGTTATTATAGTTAGTATTATCATATTTTAATCACTCAAACATGTTGGTTATTACAATAGTTACTTAAACAAAATTATTTAATACTGACTATATTTGAAAAGCCTTAGAATGCTCTTTAAACAATGTGTACAGATAGGTAAAATAAAGAATAGACATGGAGTACATAGATAAAAAAATATTTAGACAAAATAAAGGATATATCTTTTTCAACAGTGCTGGAGACTCCCAGCACCCCCATCTCCACGTGGGGGGCTGCTATGAGAGCAAGGCTAAAAAAAAATTTTGAGCCAATCAAAAAACAGTGAGGGTGATAGAGGCCCAAGGCATTTTTGTATCTTTTTTTTTCTATTATGACGAGTGAAAAATAAGCAACATGATTTGGAGTTGCTCTAATAATTACATTTAAAGTAAAGTATGTATTGGATGGTTTGTATTAAAGTAGGTTCATATTTATTATTAAATATATAACTATATTGGGGATTTGATTTTGATGCTCTCACTTTGGGTTGTGCAAGAAATCCATGTTTTATTCAAAACCATGTTTTATTCACTCTCTAGTTGCTACCACCATAGCGTTGGGCGACATTTGGGTAGGACTTGAGAAATTTGAGGTACAGGTGCCTCTTTGGGACACCCAATCGCTCTATCATTTCAATTTGTAAGTTGACAATTTGTAAGTTACAATCCTTGATCGGATCACATTTGTCTAAAAAAAAATTAATAAACTACTTTAAAATCATATTATTCATTAATTACTACCCCAACAAGAAGTAATACAGGAAATAAATTCATTTGAGTACAAGTAAAAAACCTCTCTATTATTGATTAATGATTCACCCACAATTTTTTCTGCCCGAATCTGTCCGAATAAGACTTTTACCGGTAAGAGTTTCCAAAACGGGAAACTTTTAACGGTAAGAGTCTCAATTGTGTGCATTCCGACTGTAAAAATTGTGTTTGGAAACTCTTACAGGTAAGAGTCTCAATTGTATGTATTCTGACTGTAAAAATTGTGTGAATGTGGCGGTGCTATTTATTATTACACTTAACAAAACACAAACTTAGCTATGAAGCAGAGGAAGAACATAAATATAGTTTCTCTTCAAAGGAACTACAGATCAATCTGAAAATCAGCTCTCTGTTCTTTTTTCTTCTTCAGCAACCTAACCACTAGTGTAAACCAACTATGCCGGTACTTATTCAGCAGCAGCTGTCTAGGCTTCAGGTTTCTCCTTCAACAATTCTGACACTCTTGCTGCCAGGCTCTTCTTTGCTGCTGGGGAAACACCATGCTTGCCAATGATTGACTCCAACACTGCTTCTGATAATTGTTTGTTCTCTATCACCGCAGTCCCAGTCTCAGGTAAGGAGCTGTCTTTCGAGAAAGCAATCTGCGTTATCAAATAGAAAGAAGCAACAACGACAATTAAAATCTAGTTACAGATTGATCTTACTTTTACACTCAAAAGTAAGGATTATTAAGTCATTGAAGAATATATACCTCAGGCTGCGTCGTTAGCCTATATTTCACTGAAAATGATTTATTTTTGGTAATTTTGGTTTTCTATTTTCACCAAACAACTAGGACAACAAGAGCTCAATAACCTTTACTACAATGAGGCCTTTTTTAAATCAATAAGCTTACACTTTTTAAATAGTTCCTGACATTTTTTCCTTCTAGAAATCAACAATATTATGTACCTAGAAAAAATAGTTGTCCAGAATTTGAAATGCGTGGATTATATTTCTGTTACTGTCAAAAACAAAGAAAGATGGATTCCTCTATTTCTTGATTGATACTGCTTCTCAGAAAAAAGCCGAAATGTAATTGCAATATGCAGCATCATAAATCATTAGTGTCCTTTCCCTCAAAAGCTTAAAAAGATTTTTGAATGTGATGCCTGTAACCTTTTCAAATCAGTCACATTATTCCTGAATCTTTTAGAATTAACAAAGAATTAAAATATGAAAAAAAAAAAAAAAAAAAAATTTGGAATTTACTAACCGTCAATGATCCAAGGGGTGATTGGGTAAAAAGAATAGAACCACCAGGGGGGAAAGTTTCATCCTTGAAGACCTCGATAAACTTTTCAATGGCTTTGGCCTCTGCATCGGTATAGGTTCCAACTGCTTTCCAATAGGCAACACAATTTTCTGTAACCTTCTCTGAGTATTGTTGCCCTGTTAATGGCAAGATCATAGTCACCTGTGTGAACTTCTCAAAGGGACCTACAAATTGGTAATGACAATTAAGCTCATGAGTTGGAAGTTGAGATTGAAAACATGTGTTTCATATTATTCTCATGTCATGCACTCATTAAATAACACTTCAGACTTAAAACTTCTGTTTCAGTTTAGTTGCCTTTCATCAAAAACATTTCGTACAGTTATTGGTCGACATCCATCTAGGTTAAGGACTTTTAATTTGTAATGTGGTCATTTTTGGGGACATTAATGGATTCATCTGAATGTAATCTCATTTAAGATTGATTTAGAAGAAGAAAAAATATAAAGGCAAATTGCAGAGTAGTCTTTACATTTTGTTACTTGTGTCATTTTGGTCTCTATAGTTTTTAATTAGCTCAATTTTGACTCTTAATTTTAAAGTTTGCCTCAATTTGGTCCAATTGATTGTTAGTATTTTTAACGGAAATTATCACTGAGTTAGTTGACTTTAAGACAATAAATTGATCAAATTTATAATTTTGTCCCTAAAAGCATAATGCATGTTGCTTATGTGCACATTTTTTTTGTAAAAAATACTAGCAATTAGAATCAATTGAACCAATTTGAGACCCAGTCATAACTTTAGGACCAAAATTGAGTCAATTGAAATTACAATGATTAAAATGACACAAGGGTCAAAATATAAGAACTTGTGGTATAATTTGTCCCCCCAAAAAATATACATGTTCGTTGTATTCTATGAACTACGAATGAGAAAGATTTTTGGGGAAATTTGTGCAGTGTACACTTTCAAAAAAAATTACAGATAAATGGTAAACGTTATACACATTAATAATTAAAATTATAAACTTTTTCATAAATCTGTTGTAATTTTTTTTATAGTACAAATGGGGTAATTTCTCCAAGATTTTTTCCTCAAATTGAAGGCATTTAGTACATATTAATTGATGGATAGAAAGTACCAGTCATTGAAATCAGATATTTTGGTTGAGACAAGAAGGAAAGGGAAAACAAATAATAACAGGAGGCCATGGTATCAGAAAAAATTGTCCAGGGATCCTACAGCCAAATAACAGTCTAGAATCTATGGTAAAAATCCCAAGACTTTCAGCATAAAAGACCCCAATCACCATTGGAAAATGGCAAAAATGTAGGCTCTATTTGGTAATAATTTTCACTGTAACAATGATAGGATTGCTACTATATTTTGTTTACTATCATATGTGCCACACTCACATTTATTAGAAATGTCATTAATATTCAAATACAAATGTGAGTGTGCCACATAAGATGGTAAATCAAATCAGGCAGAAAGAGATGGTCAGCCTATCATTGTCATTACACTAACGTTAGTTTGCAATCATGACAATTTATCATGCATGCTGCGGCATCTTGTTTTTCAAGTTTAATGTCTATCATAGTGATATCTCTCATCTTGTGATATTTTCCGTTGGGTACCTCATGCATTCATGAACTACAATGTTACATGGACTCAGGTGTGGGTGTCGGATACAGGTACGTGTCTAACTGTCAGATTCGCCCATTCCGAAAAAGTGAGGGTACTGGGACTCAGCTAAAAAGTGTCCAAAAAATAGATATGGATACAAAGACACAGCATATGAAATATTAATAGCTTTTTAAATTTTTTTTACTTTATTGATAGTTTTTTTTTATTTTTTTACTAATTTTTTATGTTCCCAAATCAACCTTCAGTAAAAATATATTTTGTATTTAGTTTTGTATATAAATATAATATTTTTTCTTTATTACCCTTAAATTCTATTGTAGAAGACACAAATATAAATAAATTCTATATAAACATAATATTTTATTTATTTATTTATTATGTATATAAATATAAAAAACTCTCAATATAAAATTTAAAAATAAAATGTATATACATTATTTATGAGTAGTACTAGAAACTCTTAATATATTTTTTTTTATTGACATTATCATATTTTGTAGGTCTCACATATCATACAAATAAGAAATAAAATATTTAACAAAAATATTTTAAATTTATGTATATAAACTTATATATGCCTTATAAATGAGATAAGTAGAGTCAGAAAAAGAGAAGTGAAGAAGAGAGAGAAAACGCGCGAGAGAGAGAGAGAGAGAGTAGAAGATGGATGGACACAGATCAAGGGATAGAGCAAACGAGAGGAACATCGAGAGACAAAGAGAGAGTAGATCGATAGACCAAGAAAAGAAGATTAAGAGACCGACAGAGAGAAGAACACAGATCGAGATCACGAGTGAGAATGAAATATTGAGATGGCGATGGCGATTGCTTCCTTCTCTACTATTAAGCTTCTCAACAATCCTTCTTCACTCTTCTCTCATGTCAGCCGTGTCCGAGAAAACCATGCCGAATCCGACATAGATCTTACACCCGCACTTGTGTCATGTTGTGTCGATACGGGTACTTTGCCCTAGACCAATGAGTCCATATAACACCGATGAACTACATGTTATGATTACATGAGGTGCCCTATAACTGGCAAAAAAAGTACAACTTGCCAAACCAAAAACACAAGCATCATGTTGTAGGGATACATGCTCACACACGTGTCATTGCCTTTGCAATTCTATAGGCTCGCACAATAAAGATATACCCCATTCAAGGGGTTAGTGTTTTATGAATTTTATAATTATCAGGTGCATGTATATGATGGTATAAGAGGAATTAATTACAATGTACATGCACACATATATTATTAGTGATATAATGAAAGCATTACATGAGGGTTTGGCCAAATAGCACTTTACCCACCGTCAAAGATAAGCAAAGAAGCCCTATTTGGTTTTGAACTAAAATGAAACACTCCTTGTCAACAAAAAGTAAAATGAGTTTAATACCCATATGCTATCTTCTCTTTCTCTATCTTCTTTTGTGTCAAACACTTTGTTAACCATCATTGCCAGAATCCACCAGCACCAGATTCAACCACCACTGCCACATACATATACATATACATATAATAAACTAACTTCCCGTATAATATATACACATACATAACCAACCAACAGAAGCAACCAACAAGAGCAATTAATCCAAACCAGTTGTACCTCCATTATTTTATTTATTTATTTTTTTGGGGTGCATTATTATTTCTTTGTTAATGGGTTATAGAAAACAAAGGGGTCAAATAGGGTTCTTCTTGAAGCTATTGTGAAGTTCTTTATTCATGGGTTACATAAGAGCAAAGTTGTTGTGTATATAATTTCTTTGTCCACCTTGTCTCTCCTTGTTGTTAAGATCTTCCTAAAGCTCTTACAATAGGGGTTAGAGAACTAGAGGTGAGGGTTAGGGGGTGGGGGTAGGAGAGGGAAGGAGTGGTGGTGTTGGTGGTGGCTAGGGAGGGGACGGGGGTGGCTAGGGATGAGATATTGGGTGGCATTGCTGCAAAACAAAAACTTTGTCTGGTAGGGGACTAGCTGGTTGGGGGTGTCGTGGGTAAAGAGAGAGGGGTTGTTTTGGGGTGGTAAGGGAGGTGGCAGTGGTGGTGTTTGGTGGTGGTAAGGGTGCCGTGGGTGGGAACGAAGGGGGTAGAAGGTGCTGTGGATGGTAGCTAGTGGTGGCATGGTGGTGGTTAGAGTTGGCCCGGCAATGAGAAGAGGTTAGGGTTAGGGTTAGGATTAGGATTTTGGGAAAGAAGATGGTTAGGGTTAGAGTTTGTGCAAAATAAGATAAATATAAGGGCCTATTTGTCCTTTAACATTTATATTTTAATTGAATAATTTTTTCATTTCAACTCTCAAATTAGTCTAGTGTGACACAAATTACGTCAATTTGGATGGAACTCATGTTAGTTGGCAAAATAAAAGCTTTGTGAGTAGGGAAAGAATTGGTCGGGGAGTCGTGTGTGGAGAGGTGGAGGTGTTTGGTGGTGAAGGGAGAGAAGGTAAATGGGGTCGTGCTTGGTGGTAGTGGGGATGGGTTTGTCCTGGGTGGGGCAAAAAGGGGATTTTGGATGTCGTGGGTGGTAGCTAGTGGTGGTTAGAGATGGCCCGATGGTAGGACAAGATTAGAAATAGGTTTTTGGGAAAAAAGATGGTTAGGGTTCGAGTTAGGGTTTTTGGAGAAAAAGATGAAGATAAGGGCCTGGAAACCTTGTATAGGTGTCCGTAATATGTGTCGTATGGTTTGTCATCTTGTAATAAGTTGACAGTGAGTGTGATAACACATGTCGCACATGTGAGTAAATATTGTGGAGTAAATAATGTTGTGTTGTCAACTAGGGTCGTGTCACGACCTTGGTTTTTCCAAGCCAACCATGTGGCCTTAGATGCTAGTCACCCACTTGGTTTGCACCTAAGTAAGCCTTCTTGGAAGAGAGCTAGGAAAGATCACACACACTTAATCCTAGAGACAGAAACACTTCTAGAGAGAGAATGCTTTAGCTTGTATTCACTTGGATTGAGGGGGATTCTACACACGTCATTAATTGTACAATCTAGAGTGTTCCTGGAAGGCTAGGTTGCCTAAATAAAGGGTGAGGCCTCATTTGGCCATTTGGCCAAACCATCCAAATGAGGCCTCACCCTTTATGTAGGCAACCTAACCTTCCAGGAACACTCTAGAATGTACAATTAATGACATGTGTAGAATCCCCTCAGAGTATTCTACAACCTTCGTAGAATTATCTAGAACCTATTCTAAAACATTTTATACAAGCTCAAGAATTATATACAATATTCCCACAAGTTCTCCAGTCTTCCGGAGGATTCCAAAATCCTCCATTAGCCTCTATTGTTTGAGCCCTCCTTTGGTGGGGATTTTCTATAGGCAATTCAACGGGTCGTGATAGTCTACTAGCAGACAAGCCCATATAATCTCACTACTAATTACTTTAGTAGTTTGTCCTATAGGGCTCCTTCTTACTAGTATGAGGAACTTGGGTGTGTATTGTACCTCTTTGTGACAGTATCTCCATCATGAAAGACTACAAGGTAGAATTATAGGTGGTTGAGGTTTTGATTCACAAGGGTCTAGAGAAGAGAGTTTGGGCTTAGCCTCGAGCTTGGGGATGCTT